CGCAGTAGACACATGTACAAATCCATCTGAAGTTTGTCAATTATAATCTAAATTATTCAGAAAAGTATTGGGAGAAAGTGCTGTGGTCAGATGAGACCAAAATTGAGGTCCTTAGCATTAACTCGACTCGCTGTGTTTGGAGGAAGAAAAATGCTGACTATGATCATAAGAACACTATTCCCACAGTCAAGCACGGAGGTGGAAACATTATGCTTTGGGGCTGTTTCTCTGCTAAAGATACAGGCCAACTTTGCCGCATTGAGGGGCCAATGGATGGGGCCATGTACTGTAAAATCTTGGATGAGAATCTTCTTCCCTCAGCCAGAACACTGAAGATGGGTCGTGGATGGGTCTTCCAGCATGACAATCACCCAAAACACACTGCCAAGGCGACAAAGGAGTGGCTCAAGAAGAAGCACATTAAGGTCATGGAGTGGCCTAGCCAGTCTCCAGACCTTAATCCTATAGAACATTTATGGAAGGAGCTGAAACTTCATTTGCTAAACGACAGCCAAGAAACCTTACGGATTTAGAGAAGGTGGACCAAAATCCCTCCTGATATGTGTGCAAACCTGATAACCATCTACAAGAAACCTCTTACCTCTGTACTCGCCAACAAGGGTTTATCCACCAAGTACTAAACCATGTTTTGCTTGGGGATCAAACACTTATTTTACTCACTGAACTGCAACTCAATTTATAACATTTGTAAAATATGTTTTTTCTGGATTTGTGGTTAATATTCTGGTCTCTATCATTTAAAACCACACTTATTATAAAAATTATAGCCCCTTCATTTCTTTGTAAGTGGGCAAACTTAAAATCTGCAGGGGATCAAATAATTATTTTCCCCACTGTGCATCCTTAGAAAGTTGGAGTCTGAAGGTTGAGGCTTGTGAATCTGGTCAAGTTGGCTGAGGCGAAGAGCCAAGAAGGTATCTGGCTTTGGTATATATAGTGCAGTGAGTCCTATGGATGGTCTTCTCAACCGACTCAGCCAACAATAAGTTCAGATCTGTTTTGTTTTTTTAAGAAGTTTATTTGGCTCTGTTGGGTGCAAGTGAAATGGAAGAAAAAGATTATGGTAGTCTGCCTCAAACTGTTGTAACAGCAATTTTTTTTATCCCGATTGAACTGTGAGGAGACCCGCATGCATGTTCCCCTAACAAGTGCTTCCCATAAAAACTGAGGAAATATCAGGGGTAGTATTATGTAGAAGATAGTCATTTAAGTGAGTTGGATATCAAAGCAAAAAGTCTTATTAGTTAATTGAACTTCATTCATACACCAGGTCCGATCAGTAGATTGTGGTATCAAGGATGATATAGTAGTAATTACTGCACAATTATTGGACCACGGAATAGGTGGATTACGGGACCCCAACAGTATAGGGGAAGTTGCAACTGGGTTGAGAATATGGTCTGTCCTAGAGAAGGACTTATGGGGATGACAATAGAAAGTATAGTTCAGTTTTAGGGTTTTAGGTCACGGAGGATCAAGGTCTCTTTGCAGTGTGCCAGGATAACCTGAAGTAAATGGGAAAAGAAAGGATTGGGATTTTCATGGGGCTCATAGCAGGAGACTAGTGTTGTCTCAATATTTTGCAGTAGGTCAACCAGTACTTGCAGCATTAAGGGTCCATGCACACTAGGGGCATTAAAATGCCAGAACTTCTGGCAGAAAAAAAGAAATGTAAAAATGCTCATAGTGGCTCATATTGCACAAGGGTTTATGAGAGTTTAATGCCATTTGCTTTTATAACTGTTTTTCCCCCCAAAACATTCCCCTCATTTTTCAATGTACACTTGAAAACACCAAATGCTCCAAAACCCTGCATTTATGTGCATAATTTTTTCTGCCTGAAAGCTCCTCTCAAAAAATGCGATTCTGAAGGTTTTTTTTTTTATCTGACTCTAAACGCTTCTCTGAAATGATTCGGAGAAGCCCACCACGCTCCTCAAGAGCTAACCGTTTATATTTCCAGAGCATCGTTTTTAGCCAGTTCCTTTTGTAGCTCCAGATGGATGTCAAATGACATCCTCCCAGAAAGCACATTCCGTGAGGACAGATCACTGTACTGGTCTGCTGCTGGTACCATGTGATTGCTGTGACCAATCCCAGGTAATCACAACAATACTTACTGGATGAATCACTTTTATTCAGTAAAATTCTTATAGCAATGAAAATTTACTGCTATAAGCAATAATAATATGTAATAATAAAAAATCCTGATCACTTCCCCAGAGTAGTACAATGTTAGTATGGTAACACTGTATTGCTCTGGTCAGTTTGTTAAAAAATAAAATAATTAAAAACCCAAAAAAAAGTTCTAAAACAAAACAATTTTTTTTTTATATATATATTTTTAAATTTTTTTTTTCTTTGTACTGTCACCGGTCAGTGTCCCTGATCACCACTACCCCAGTTATATGATGACACTGTACTGCCCTGGTGACGGTATGCAGAAATAAAAAAAAATTTAAAAAAAGTGAAACATTTCTTAATTTTCCAAAAATTAGGACAAAAAAAACAACAACTTCAAAAAACTCACCATGCCCCTTACTAAATACCTTGGACTGTGTAATTTCCAAAAAGGGGTCATTTGGGAGATATTTGTACCATCCTGACATTTTCGGGCCTCAAGAAATGAGATAGGACGTCAGTACATCAAGATTGCTCAATTTTCAGATATATATCATAGTTTGTGGACTCTAACTTTCCTACAGGCTAAATGGTAAACACTGATTTGGGTTTTTTTCACCAAAAAAATATAGTAGAATACATGTTGGCCTAAATTTAGGAAGAACAATTATTTATTTGCATAATTTTATTACAGGAACATAAAAACAAGGTTTTGTTTTTAAATGTGACAAACTCCTGCGCTCCTACCTAAAAAACGAATACCTGCCAACAAAGGTAAATCTGCTACATACAGTCATATACCCATAGACAACAAATATAAATGAAACACAAATGATGCAGCGCTACTACCATAAAAATTCTTCATACATAAATGAATAAGTGAAACAGTGCAAAATTGGTGACACAAATAATATAACACACAATATTAAATAGTGCCAAACAATCATGTGTGACAGGTGTCAATACGAGGTCCTAAAAGGACCAAATAACATAAATGGTGCCCCAAGTAATCCAATGGGAACAAATAGTGCTCCAAAACAAACAAGCAAGTCACAACAGGACTCAAGGTGCTAAAAAATCTCCCACCGGAACTAAAAATCAGTTCCCACCATATAACACAAAACACACGTGCAGAGTATTAAAGCGGTTAAAAAGACTCTATGACTTTGCCCATCAAGAGGTTTAATAACCCCTGCAGGCAGTTTAATTTGCCTAGTGATGAATTAGTCACATAGAAGTCTTGTAAAGCAAAGAAGGTCTTGTACATAGGACTCTGTTATGTTGGAAGGTATTGGGGCTGTCCTTGCAGGCCTCCTTCTGAAAATGCTAGATGCCTGGCTGGGTCTTCAAAATGTTTCAGTCACAGTCTGCAATAAGTATGCTGTAAATAAGTGTCAGAACTACTTAGTGTTATACTTGTTCAGCAACTTAAACAGCATTGAAGTCAAAGTATCAGAATGACAGCCAAGGAACAAGTATTTACAATGGAGCATTTAGTAATAGCAGCCTCCATTACTCTCTCATGACCGTGTCACTTTAAGCCCAGCAAATTAAGGGTAGAAGGCCACACCAGCCATCCAGCTTTCATACTCTAACCTGCAAGAAGAATGGAATCTGACTATCTGCCATAGGCAAAACTCACATTTTGGCTGAGGCCAATGCATAGAGCAGGGGTGTCCAATCTGCGGACCAGGACAGGTATGAATGTGGCCCAACCTAAAATCCTAAACTTACCTAAAAACGTTGACTTTATGGGGATTTTTTTGTAAAATGCATTTACACTTAGTGAACACCTGCGGGCAAAGAAAAATTTGACAGTGTCTCTTTACTGGATTTTTAGAAGTTATACGTTTTATCTTCCAAAAGAAAAACATCCCACTCTTCACAATCACGCCTTATTCATGTCATCAGTTTTCAGAAGTTTGTGAACAACTATTTTCAATGACGGAGCATACAAAGGGCAAAATTACAACCAAAATATCTGATGAGCACCTTGAGAATTCATTGAGAATTGCGACTACATCCATTGAACTAGATTTTGATGCGATAGCTTGTCAAAAACTGCTTCAAATATCTGGCTAGTTTTATGTTGCCTTCTTTTACTTTTATAATAAAATATAATAAAAAAAAAGAAGTTTTATTTCTCAGATAGGTACATTATCTAGATCAGTGATCGTTAACTTGTGATCTGCCTGACTTTTTCTGCTTCTAAGCTATTCTTCTTGTTAGTTTATTTATGTGTTGCCCGAGACAATTCCTCTTCTTCCAACGTGGCCCAGGAAACTCAAAAGGCTAGACACCCCTGGCATAGAATCAGCCTAATGTTGCAATACAGGTCAGGGAAAAGTCATAGTTGCTACAAGAGAAACATTAATGCATGTGTTGCATGCAATTTAAAGTTTTACTTTACAGTCTATAAATTAATGTTATGAATGCGGTTCTTCAGTGCTCTTTCCTGGATATGATCACATGTACATCTACAAGTATGTATGCATTTAATGAGCTCAGCTCCAGGCAAGAGATTTCAAACACATATTAATTTGGTCTTCAGTTGAAAAGGGACAACTAAAGTGACAGACGCAGAAAAATACAGTAAGTGGGCTGATTAGTCTAGCTACTTCCTCATATCTGGAGGTGGTGGATGTTTACTCTTACCCAAATAAATTTAATGAAAGAGATAATGATCATGTTAAGACCTTGAAATAGATGCCATTAGTCAAAGAAAAGTTAATTATAACTTGAGAATTAAAAGCACTAACCTGATTCCCCTGAGCTAGCAAAGCTTTCAGGCGAGCTATTTCTGCTCGAAGCTCGCGGATTAGCTTGACATTAGCATCCTCATTAATGGTGGGCTTGTTGATAATGTTTTTGGCTCTGTTTGCATAGCGAAGTGTACTTAAGGTTTCTCCATAATTGATATCAGCAGGCGAAATAGCTGTGAAGAAAAGAAGTCAAAGACAAATTATTCAGCACCTTCAGCTCCAATGAACAAGAAGTTGGTTTAGAATTTGAAAGTCAAATCGCTTAGAGCGACTATGAAGAAGGCATATTTCAGCTCTCTGTTGCCCATTCTGGGAGGAAAAATAAAAAAAAAAAAAGATACTGGTTAAAGCTGGACTCCAGGCAGATAGGCAGATATAAAAAACACAAATAGTTAAACATTAAATATATTTTTAAATGCAACAAGTCTAATCACCTTGATTTGTCCTGATATTAGCCTACAGCATTCATACTGGAGAGGGAGGCACAAGCAGACAATCAGATTCTGCTGTAAGCACACTTGCTGAAAGGGAACATGCTGACACAAGAGAGCAGAGTGAGGACTCTACTTTGCTGTCCAATCCACAGGCTTAGGTTGTGTTCTACTCATAGTTGTGCTGCAGCAATAAGAGCCCATGAGTGTTATCTTGCAGGGGTGTCTGGGTCACATGGTCGGCTGGACAGAATTCCTTTTGTACTTAAAGTGGAACTAGACCCTCCTTTACTTTACAGCCAAGGACGCTGCCATCTTAGCCTCTATCTGTTCTGCAGTTTCCATGGTGCTGCACATTTGACCAGTTATGACACCAGCCATTTGATGGCTTGACAGTTTGGTTGAAAGCCCAAGCCACTGTGACACTTATCATTCATAGCCTGCCTTGAATGTAATTGCTTTGTCAAAGTTAAATTGATTGGGAAAGGAAGTCACACAGCACAGGAGGAGGTGTATATGGCAGCCTCAGCCCAAGCCCCAACCTGGCCACGCTCCCCACACGGGGTGGGGGGGCTGGGGTACTGTGATCAGGTTAGAGCCCGGGCTGAGGCTGTCATATACCTTCTCACAGGGTTTTGCTTTTATGTGCAACTTTTAGGACTTCCTTTCCCAACTGTATGTTTTGAGCTGTAAAGAGCTCTGTCCTTGGCACTCCTAGCAATTTGTCATGCAAGAGGACCTGGTGGATCCTTGAGCGGCACCTGTCATTTTTGTTGCGAGTTAAAATGGTTTAGTTCTGCTTTTCAGGCCAGTTTATGCTAGGAATCGCACAGGAACATGCTGAGTGTTCCTGTGCGATTCACATGCACTTCAGTTTGAGCACATTCATTTTTAATAGGCTCAAATCGCACTGGATCACACCAGAAGTAGTACATGCAATACCATTGGAGACTCACTGCAAAAGAACTTAAGTATCATGCGATCTGGTACAGGCAAACACTTTGTGTTTGCGATCTGTGTTTGGGTTGTTAACTTAAAATTGTCACATGCAACTGTGGAGTGTTTTGAACGCGGTGCAGGAAATTTGCAGGGAACGTGGGTTTCCTGCACCACGTTCTGATGTGAACAGGACTTAAGACAGCTCTCATACAAGTTTTTAGGGGTATTTAGCTGCTTACATAGAATTTGGCTTTAGGAAAGAACAGCAGCTTATCATGCAACTGGAAACCCTTAGGGTGGTGTGAGATTGGGGTAAATCTTTTACCATGAATGGCAAGTGAGGAAGGATATGTGTAACCTTGTTCATATTGCAGAAACATTTCTCCTGACTCATGAAGAGATGCAATCACTCTCTTTTCTCTATAAAGGCTACGAGCATTGCTCAACCCAACTGGAAATTTCCAAAGGGTTCAAAGCATTCTGTTGATGTGCATGTGTCACTGTTACATCGTCTTTAAAGGTAAAAATTAAAGGATTATATTCCTCACCCTATCTTTACTGCTAAGTGTGGGTTAGGAGTTGCAACGCCTAAAAACAACAATGGCAACTTTCAATTGTTGTCTTGGATAGTTTAAATAATTGATCTGAGTGGAAGATAAATAACCCAAATGCCCTTGTTTTCAATCAAACTTTTTTATTTTTTTATTTTATTTTTTACAGATTATATTCTTTTATTACATACTTTTTGCTATAAAAGAGAGAAAAGAGGGAGGGTGGGGGGATAGTGAGAGGGAGAGATCATGGTGAACTGATTAGGAACCTCATTGATTGGTTCCTGATCACTAGTTTGAGACCTGTACCATCAGAAAAAATAATAAATGTGCAACTTGAAGCCTGGACTACGAGGTGGTAAACAAAGGGTCTTTGTCAGCAGACTTTAAAAAAAGATAGAGATGCGAAAGGAGCCTAAGCTTTAACTGCTGGCTGGAAAAATTAAAAGCAACATATTAATATAATTCACTGAATACAAATATTTTTAAAAAATGTGTTTTTTTTTTTCACATCCTGATCAAAATAAATACGTTATGCACAAATCTACTGCACATCCCCTTAAAATTCAGTCTTCATTTGCTAATTAACAAAAGTGGATGTTGGCTAATATGTCTGCATTTGATGCATCTGTAGTAAATATTCCCTCCATGTTGCACTGTTGCTTGTTATAAATTAACAGAGCAGCTCACCCCTTCCTCTGTTCAGATCCCACTGGTCTGCAGATGCCTGTCATTCACCCCGATGCTTTTCTGAAGGGCTGGGAATTGCACTTTCAGAATGTTGTGGATAGCGGTTTGTGGCTTCCACATATGTTCCAAATGCATGCAACAAACCGTATCACTTAACTAATTTGCAAAAACATTTTTTTTTTTTTTTTTTACCCTGTAGTCATTTACTGTCCATTTTTCTGGCTATAATCTGATTTGCAAAAGGTAAGGAGGTACATTTAAATTGAAAACGTATACTGTATGCACAATTATTAGGCAAGTTGTATTTTTCAGGATCAATTTCATTATTGAACAACTACAGTGCTCTCAGTCAATCAAAAAAATGTTAATAAACCTCAAACCTGAAAACTTAAAGGAAAAGTGAGGTTTTGGCTTTCATAGGAGACTAGCTATGTGTGCACAATTATTGGGCAGAACTATTATGCAACTAAATGAAAATTTTCCCAACTCACTTGTTTATTTTCATCTGTTAAAGTGAGAATAATAAACAAACAACTCAATATTCAGAATGTACAAATAAATGTTTCTGATACGTAAAAAAAGAAAACAAAAATATTCGTGACTAATATAGCCACCCTTCTTTTCAATAACAGTCATAAGGCTTCCAATCATGGAGTCTGTTAGTTTCTTGATTGGTTGACGATCAACTTTTTGTGCAGCAGCAACCACAGCCTCCCAGACACTGTTCAGAGAGGTGTACTGTTTTCCTTCACAATAAATCTCCTGTTTAAGAAGGGCCTACAAGTTCTAATAAGGGCTTAGGTCAGGTGAGGAAGGAGGCCATGTCATTATTACTTTAAGCCTTTACTGGCTAGCCACGCAGTGGAATACGTTGATGCATGCGATGGAGCATTGTCCTGTATAAATATCATTGTCTTCTTGAAAGAATGCAGACTTTTTTCTGTACCAATGCTTGAAGAAAGTGTCTTCTAAAAACTGGCAGTAGCTTTGGAAGTTGACTTTGAGTCCATCTTCAATCTGAAAAGGTTCAGCTAGCTCATCTTTAATATTACCAGCCTGTAACAGTACCCAACCTCTACCTTGCCGGCGTCTGAGTCGAAGTAGAGCTCTGTGCCCAGTTCTGATCCAGCCACAGGCCCATCCATCTGGTCCATCAAGAGTTACGCTTATCTCAGCAGTCCATAAAACTTTTGAAAAATTTGTCTTCAGATATTTCTTGGCCCAGTCTTGATGTTTCAACTTATGTGTCTTGTTCAGTGGTGGCCGGGTTTCAGCCTTCCTTACCTTAGCCAGGTCTCTGAGGACTGAACACCTTATATTCCAGAACTACAACCTACCTGGAGTGCCCAGAAGTACGACAGCACTGGAGGATAATGGGCTCCTGGGCAAATCTTTGGCAGGTAATGTGCCTTTTTTTTCTCAACATATTTTTTTGTGACCCTGTTGACTGTTTGCAACAAAACGTTTGAGGGTTCTGTGATCAAGCCCCAATATCTTAGCAATTTCAAGAGTGCTGCATCCATCTGAAAGACTTTTTACACTTATTGATTTTTCAGAGTCAGTTAAATCTCTTTTATGGCCCATTTTGCTTGAGGAAAAGAAGCTGCCTAATAATTATGCACACCTTGATATAGGGTGTTAATCTCCTTAGACCGCACGCTCCCTCATTACACAAACACACATCACCTGATATGCTTAAATCTAATAAGCATTCAGGTTTATACAGCTTGGAGTTGGACAATATGCATAAAAATTATTTGGTCAAAATACTCACTTGCCTAATTGTGCATACAGTATACCCTGGAAGAAGTGCATAAAAGGAGGCAGGCAGGAAAAGGCAAAGGATTATTCGCCAGCATTACTTGTGGTCTCCCTGCAGCTGATCTTTTCCTCAGTATTGACTTATTATGTTCTGCACTGTGTCTATGTGTGGTGGTGTCCATCTTGGTGTAGGCAGAGTTTTGCTTGCTCACATCAGAGCCTCCAGCAAGGAGAACAGTGAGCAGCACAATCGTAACATTATCAAATCTCACTCCAAATCTCCTGAGACCAGAAGTGAATGGCAGCAGCAGTGCCAAAGACCTCACACTGCTGCTGATATACAGCCATACGGAGTGCCTAGGCACACACATACCAGAAAGCGCACTGCTATTCGTCTTGAGGAATTTCAGACAAGAAATATGACTTTCAGGGAATTTCTTTGGTACAAGTAACACTTCTAGATGTTGTCCAAAACTGCAAAAATTTATTGCTACAGAAAAAAGGTGGCCAATTGCAATCAGGACGTTGACTCATTGGGGGTTGATTTACGAATACTGGAGAGTGCTAAATCTGGCGGGCACGTTAGCCAATCAGCTTCTAACTTCAGCTTATTCAATTAAACTTTGATAAAAAAAAAAAAAAAAAACAGGAAGCCGATTGGTTTCTATCCAGAGCTGCTTCAGATTTTGCACTCTGCTCTCCACCCGCAGGAGAGGTCTCACTGTGGGGGCATACACGCATCTGAGGAATCTCTCCTGCGGTGGAGAGCAGAGCTGAAGATATCCCATATTGCCTGATTCAGTTTTGGTCACAGTGAGTCAGCGTCCTGAGTGCAATTGGCCTCCATTTTTCTGTAGCATATTGAAGCCTGACAAGCTGTTTTGTACATTCTCCACCGGCTCATTACACGTCATGTTGTCAGATATCAGTGATAGAAGCATTTGAGAGGTACTTATATTTTGGTCTACATTTAAATCTTCATTGCTTGAATTCAGTTCTGCTTTGACACAATTTTAATAGGTAATAAATAACACTCAACTTTGCGTGCCTATTTTACAGATTTAAAATTGAACTCCAGTTAAATACAAAAATACATTTTAATCCAGTTATGTATTCATTTAAATCATTAAACATATTTTCAAAGTAGAAATATAGGCAAAAACTTTTTTTTTTTTTTTTTTTTTTGGATAGAGCAAGGGAGGGTTTTAACCCCACTAAGAAAAAATTCCATCTGTATCCCATTTGGGAGATTTACCTTCACTTCCTGTCTGATAGCCAAAACAGGAAGTGGCCCCCCCAGGTCACCAGAACTAGTATCCCTGTTGGAAGATTTCCCCTTTTCAGGGGACAACCCAAAATTTGGGATTTTCTTTTACTTTCACCTTCAAGGATAACGGTAAACAGGACAAACAGGAGAGGGTGAATCTCCTTAATGGGTACATAGACAGCAATAAAAAACCTAATAGGTTAAAACACCTATCTCCACACTGTCCAAAATCCAAATAAAAAAAATATATATGTTCCCCTTATACTTTAAATACTGCTAATAAAAAGTACCTAGAAACTTTATTACCCCCCCCCCCCCCCCCCATATCTAGCAGAACAAAGATTAAAACTGGCTATACAAGCATAGATTTCTTTGGTTCCGTCTGCGAGAATGAATCTCCCACTGCAGGCTATTGTATACTGACAGCTGCAGCCACCAGCTGTCAGAATGCCCGCACAGTGCCTGCCTCTGATTGGACATAGCAAATATTCACCACCCAGTTCCTTCAGGAAAGGTTCAATCAACTTTTGTTGAGCTGCATGGTGCCAACAGGGGTACCTACAGCGTGAATTTTGAAATCTGATCTGGCGTTTGACACTTGCGCTGTCATGTGGCAGCCTTATCAGAAAAATGGTGTCACTCTGTCTGGAGTAGAGCAATTATATACGGAAGCATGGATATAATCACAGAAATAAGAATTACCAAAAAGAAAAGGAAAATATTCTACATGGATACAATGGGGTTGATTTATTAAAACTGGAGTGTTCAAAATCTGGTGCAGCTCTGCATAGAAACCAATCAGCTTTCAGGTTTTTCAGATTTTGCACTCTCCAATTTTGGTGAAACAGCACCAATAACTACTATAGCCCCACTATAGATCTATGGGGGGGGGGGGGGAGGGTTGGATCAAAGCTATCCTTTAATTAGCCATTTTCATCTGAATGTTTTCTGCATCTTTAAGTAGAAAAATACAGAGTGGCACAGTACAGCTGAGCATATAAAGCAGTGATTAAAAAATACAGGAGTACTAAAAGCTTACTGGCAATCATTATAGTTTTTAGCGTTTCCTCCCAGGCTATCTTTTAACAGCCAAGTCAGAACAGAATCCCGGTAAGGCACGAACACTTGCTTTTTTTCTTCGCAAGATGGTTGGTTGCATCCTGAGATAAATCAGCTGAGAATGAAGAAGAAAAGGCGAAAATCATTTTAAGGAATAGGCTTCACTTTTCCCTCCAGGATATTCTCTGCATTTTTACAGTCATAAAGTCGACAACATAATTTAAACTTTTAAATGGACCACAGCAAGGTATATTATATGTCAAAGCTGCAAAACACTAACAGTGAAATGGAAACTGTGGGAGGCAATGTCAGCATGAAAGGGTACCTGTTGTGGCTCACAATGTTGACTATCCTGTTTTACACCCTTTTGCCCCCCCCCCCCCCCCCCTCCACTGCCCTAAAGACATATGTTGACTAAACAGGGACCTGGCCTGGATAACCTACTGTTTTAGGCTCCCTCAGGTAGTATATCACCTGACTAATTCATAAAAAGAGTGGTCATAACTGAAGGGAGACCAAAAACAGAAAATGTCAAACCACTGCTAAATATGCTAGCATGAAGGATCCAATATAAACACCAAATTATTTTTATCAAGATATAATTAACTCATATCAATGAAATCAAGAACATATTTTATGGGCTCATTCACACGGGCAAAAAAAAAAAAAAAAAAAAAAAAAAAAAAAACGGCAGATAAATGTTTTGTGCACATCTAAGCACAGCATTTTAGTAATCAATGACCTAATACACACAATTCTGTCTACATACAAAAGTGTGCACTGTGTTTAGCCATTCACAAAAAAGTAGGACACAGCTGCAGATTTTTCACGCATAGTTCTGCAGATTTTACTCATGTATGCACAAAAACGGAAGTGCTTTAGCTATGTATTTTACACAGGATCTTTCTTTCATGCAAAAAATGTGCGTCTAAACGCATTTTTTTTTTTTTTTACTGTGTGAATGAGCGCTAGCCCTGCAAGCAAGAATTTTTCTTTAATGCAGAAATATATATCTAAAACGCACCATTTTTTTCTGCCATTGTGAATAACCCCTATATGTTATAACAGGGTCCCACACATGGCATGGTGGGTTATGTTTTAAAAGGATACCACTGGTATGCTTTCATCTATATTTGTGTATGTAATAAAAGGGACATTTTTTACTTTATGGCTGTGAGTTAAAGGACAAGTTCACCTTTATATAAAAAAATAAATAAATGCAAACTAATGGCCACTACTCCATACTCATGCTACCAGACACCTCTGTGTCCTTTGGTACTGTTGACCATCCCCTCAAAAAACTCAACTCTCTGGGCCTTCAAGACTCTGCTCTCTCCTGGTTCTCCTCCTACCTATCACAGCGCTCTTTCAGTGTTATCTACAACTCTGTCTCCTCCTCTCCACTTCCTCTTTCTGTAGGGGTCCCTGAAGGTTTTGTCCTTGGCACTCTCCTCTTCTCCATCTACACCTCCTCCCTTGGTCACTTGATAAATCTCTGATGGCTTCCAGTACCATATCTATGTTGATGACACCCCAATATATCTCTCTACTCCCAACCTCTTTCCTTCAGTCTCCTCTCGCATTAACTTATTAACTGACATATCAGCATGGATGTTGCAACCACTTCCTCAAACTCATTCTTTGTAAAACTGAGCTTGTGTTATTGCCTCCAGCCTGTGCTCTCTCCCCTGACTTCTCCAGGATAAACAATACAACTATCATGCCTCCCCTCATGCCAGGGTGCTAGGTGTAATCCTGGACTCTGACCTGTCCTTTCAACCCCAAATTTTAATCGCTGTCCAAATCTTGTAGACTTCACCTCTGTAAAATCTCCAAAATACACCCCTTTTTAACAGTTGAAACCACTAAGCAACTTATTCACTTCCTTGTTATCTCTCAACTTGACTACTGTAACTCCCTCCTCATAGGCCTACCTCTTCGCAGGCTATTCCCTCTTCAGTCTATCATGAATGTTGCTGCCAGACTCATCCACCTTACCAACCATTCAGTGTCTGCCACCCCTCTTTACTCATCCCTCCACTGGCTTCTCAATGCCCAAAGGTTAATATTCAAAACATTGACAGGACTTCTCCAGAGCCTATCCCATCCTCTGGAACTCCCTTCTCCAATCTGTCTGGGCCATCTCCTACTCTGTGCACATTTAGGTGATCCCTGAAAACGTATCTCTTCAGGGAAGCCTATCCAGCTTTCAGGCAATAAATAAATCTTTTAAATTTCTCCCACGAGTTCATCCCCCACAATTATTACCTTTTGTTGCACCAGCCACTCCCAATTAGATTGTAAGCTTCCAGGAACAGGGTCCACCTAACTATCCTGTTTTGAATTTGTATTTTTGCTGTATGGTCTCCCTTTATGTTGTAAAGTGCTTCGTAAACTGTATATAAACCCTGTATAATAATAATAATCTTTTTGCAGATAAACAAGGTGAACTTCTTTAATTATCTTTTGATAAAAGTAATTTTGTGTTTACATTGGATCCTCCATGGTAGTTCTTTTAGCGGTGGTTTGGTCTGTATAATTTTGAGTCACCGGGGATTCTGGAATATTAAATTAAAACATTTTAAAAAAGAAAGGTTTGAAGGCCCTTCCAGTTATTCTTGATTGTGTGAAGTGAAGAACAGTGTTTTCATAGAAACCCGGAGCACAAACACCATGTAACCAAAGCCTTGGTAGTGGTCAGGTGACTTACCGCTGGAGGAAGCTCAGTATCTTCAGAGCAGGTATTAAATAACTATATTTAGTGGGGAGGCTTACGGGGAGGGAGATGTAAATGGGTTAAATTGGGTACACACGTTTTTTTTTTCTTCATTCAGTCAGTGGGGTTGGGGGCAGCAGGTGTGTGGTGTATGCTGACCATATTTCATTTTACACCCTAAATATGGATGTAACATGAAATATGATCACAATTGTGACTGTGACTTTAAGAATATAAAACATAGCAGCATACCTAAGGCAGAAATTACATTTCCCAGAGTTACAAGAGATTTATTAATGTTTCCTCCTTCTTTAAGTCGCACGCCAGTTGCGCCGGTAGCATCAGCTCTCTCACTTCCAGCCAGATCCACTAAATGAATCTTGCTTACTGTCTCACAAGGCATTTCAGCATCAAATTTAGCCTGGTGGAAAGCAACAAATTAGACAAATTAAAATAACTGGTTGGCATAGAACTACCAGTGCGGAAAGTGACACAAGTGGTAAATTACAAGACAATAACTTACGTTTGAGGGGAATTTCACTTGATTAAATTACCATATCCTGCAGGCTTCGCTAACTGTCATATGTACAAACTATAACTTAAGCTGCGCCTATAATTAGAGAAGAAATTGTGTACTGCAAATGGAAAGGATAGGAATCATGAGTGCTGCCCATCCCTTCTATCTTTTAAATTGAATTCCAGCTAAATCCTAACTAGGCTTAAAAATGCTACCTCCCCTCTCCTAACACCTATGGTGACTTACCTGTGTAATAAAATATGTATGTTACTTACCTATTTTCAGCCAGCTCCAGTCCAGTCACATGAGTCAGCTCCCATGTCAGCAAACGACTGCTGAAGGGGAGAGGAGGGAGCATTGAAATCGCTGCACCATGGGAGCCTATGGGTGATGTCGCTGCTCTCAGGCATTCCCAGCAATTGTTGAGCGCCGTCTCCTCTCCTCTGCAGCTACTGCTGGCTGACACAGGAGAGATCACATGACTGGACCGAAGCAGGAACATGGCTGTACAGCCATGCATCCGAGGATGGTTTAGAGATACACGCGGATTAGGAATAATTTACAGTTGTTTATGGGCCAATCAGTCCCAATTTCAGAATGGAAAGCCACCAGCTGAACCTGGAAGCGCTGGCAGCTTCCCAATGACATCACCAAAGAAGATAGTGGTGTGGGACCAAACAGGGGGCAGAAAAGAAGTGGCTCTCAGCAGGACAACACTGGATTCACTACGCGGGTAAGTACCTCAAAAGTTCCAGATCGGCAACCAGGTAAGCAAGGGTGGAAAAAAAAAAAATGGGGTGGGGTGGAGATCTACTTTAAACTTAGTAAACATTGTCCCTTGTGTTTTACTAAAGTGGACACTTGTAACAATTAGAGGCAGATGTTCTATATTGCTTTTACAGTTGTCACTGGAACAGGTGTTCCAAGTGGAAGACCTAGGTCCCTGTTGCCCAACCTGTATCCCTTTGACACTTTTTGTGCAGCCCTTGAGGACCCTACATACATTAATCTGTGTTTCCTATTGCCCTGTAAATAGCAGTGATCTCTAGCAGTCTCATATAATGTGTCTCCAGTCTTTAAACACTTTCTGAGGCATGTCCCCAGTTTCCAACAACTATTATAGTGTGCTCACAATCTCCAACAAAACTTATAGCACATGTTGGTATTCTCTAGCATGGCTGCAAACCATTGGGAAGCCACTGGCTGAACTTAGAAGAGCCGGCAGCTTTCCGATGATGTCACCGAAGATGGCAGTGCAGGACCGACAGGGGGACAGAAAAGGAGCAGATCTCAGCATGACAATGCTGGTACCAGTGGGTGAGTGAGATATGCAGGACCCGCAAGCAGGTAAGCAGGGGTAAACAAAAAAAAAAAAAAAAAAAAAAAAAAAAAAAAAAAAGGGGGGGGGGGGGGGTGGGGAAATCCACTTAAAGTTTGGTAAACATTGTCCCTGGTGATTTATTGACCTGGACACCTATAACAATCAGAGGCATATGTTATCTATTTCTCTTATACAGTTGTCACTGGAATAGGTCCTTGTTCCAACCCATGGCCTTTTGATACTTTTAGTGCAGCCCCCGAGCACCCTACATATGTTAATCTGTGTTTCCTATTACTCTGTAAATAGCAGTGATCTCTAGCAATCTCATATAATGTGTCTCAGGTCTTTAAACACTTTCAGAGGCACGTTCCGAGTTTCCAAAAATAGCGTGTTCCCAGTCTCCAACAAATCCTATAGCATGCTGGTATTCTCTAACCATCCCTTGTCACATGGCTGCAGTCTCATGGCGTTCTGTAATGTTACGTTCTTTAATATTATGTGTGGCCCTTTGGGGGCTGCACTTGAAGCCCCCTATATCAAGAAAGGTGACCACCATTCACCTAGATTTTGTACCTCTTGTTCTGGAGACAAAAATAATAGTTTCCAGAAACACAGAAACCAATAAAAGCATGACAGGGGGCCAAACTCTTGCTTAAAAGGGTTGTTATGATGAACTGCATTGGGTAAATTTTCAGGTAGCTATAAATAAAACAATTCATGTATTTATTATTAGAACATAATCAAATATATTGCTAAATGCAACTAACATGCCGCAGCACTCAGACTGGGAAGGGAAGGGGCAGTGCTGTGGGCCAATCAGATGTCTCCATGTGCATATATTGACAAGAAACGCTTTTATTTTAAGGGTTAGGAACATTCAGATAACTTCAGAAAACTATTAGAGAACACTTTTCAGATTATGTTCCCCCACAGCATGTTCAATAAGAATGGTTGTAATCCTGATTCTGGTGTCTGAACACGACTTAGCACCACGATACAAAAATTCTACTTATTAGCAGAAACAGAGGCAGTCAGGCGCAACGCCTACCTGAGTGAAGTTGATGGTAAAGATGGCGTGCGATCGACTGCTCACATCATTCATTCCGGTGGCAGCTGTGGTCCTGTTAATGTTCCCAGCATCCATTAACTCCTCCACGTCACTGTAATTCTGAACTAAGTGCTTTGACAAGTCTGCAAATATGACAGGAAATGGAAAATGCCATAGTCAACATCTACACTATTCTGTAATGTTTATGCTTTAATCAGAGCCAAACAATAGTGTGACTGGCATATTCTATATGTGTTCTAAAGTAGCGTCTCCCAAATTGTCAAGGACAAAAGAAGATTGGGAACAAGCAAAACACAGTACACAAGCTGCCCCAACCGGCTCACTTACACCAACTGTGTTGCTATGCTCTATGTTTAATTTACCAATATAGGCAAAATGCATGGGCATGAAAAAAACAAAACAAAAAACAAAAAAACAAAACAAACAATATTGGTTAAATGGACCCATTTCCAAACAAGTACCTGGGTTAATTTACTAAAACTGGAGAGCGCGAAATCTGGTGCAGTTGTACAAGTTAGCCAGATTCTAACTTCAGCTTGTTCAATTAAGATTTAACAAAAAAAAAAAATCAGAAAGCTGATTGGTTTCTATGCAGAGCTGCACCAGATTTTGCACTTTCCGGTTTCAGAAAATCAACCCCATTGTGTTGCACTATAAATTCATTGGGAAAAAAATTACTTGCATTCTAATTCGTTAGGTCAATGCATATAAAATCTTTCATAAACAGCTGTCTAAACTACACCTAACTGCATTACGCATTATTGCTTGCACTCTGGTGTGAATGAGCCACGTGCATTAGAAGCTGTTTGTACAATTTTCTTTAGGCCAATTGCACACATTATAATCCTCCCTTAGATCTAATAACAATTGTGTAGTGCAAAGGCCTAGCTTACTGTCCTTCACACTCTAGGAGGGCTGGATTGTGGCCAGTGGCAGCAGAAAAATTTTCTGGTATCAGTGGAAGTAAACAGTGGCTCAAGCTTGGTGGTCAATGGAAGTGAAACAATTACATAGCACATACTGGGGAATAGTGCCCCAATCATTTGGTATTAGTAGGAGGAATAGTGCCCCAATCTTGGCTGGAGGAATAGTGCCCCATCATTGGTATAAGTAGAAGGAACAGTGCCCCATAATTGGTATTAGTATGAGGAATAGTGCTACATTAGTGGTATTAGTAGGGGGAATATAACTCCATCTGTGGTATTAGTAGGAGGAATATAACTCCATCTGTGGCATTAGTAGGAGGAATAATGCGCTATTGATAGTGCGCCATTTTTCATATTAGTAGGAGTAATAGTGCCCCGTCATTGGTATCAATGTGACACTTATGATGCCCCATCATAAGTGTCAGTGGCAGAAATTATGCCACACTGTTGGTGTTCAGTAGTTGAAACAGTGCCTTGCAGCAGTGGGAGGAAAAGTGCTCCAAGAGCCACATAAAAAACCAGCACAAAGTCACATCTGGCCCACAAGCCACAGTTTGGAGTCCACTGGCATAGTGCAAGGGCCTTCCTGACTGGATACAAATTAATAGTTTAGGTAAGTACATAGTTTTGTTAAGTTTAAAGTTGATTTTACAACAGTCAGATTGTAATGTGTATACTGTATGTATATTTGACAACATAATGTGAGGGCTCAGCCAAACCATCTATTCAATTTATGTATCCGAAGATACAACGCATAGAGCCCTTCAGGACTTTCCCCATATGAACTTTAGCTATATATGCTAAGACTTTGTCTCAGAATGTTGATATCCACGGGCATTTCCAAAGATAGTGGAGTAGAGCGGTTCGAGGTATAGAGCACCATGAGCAGCTTGAATGTGATGGTTCTGCCTTATTGATACTAAACGAATAGTAGGCACGATGTACAAATTTAAATTGGGTTTCTTGCCAGGTTTCACAGATTACAAGCTGGCAAATGTTTTTTTTGCTAATAAGCAACAATTCAGAAGCATTGTCACAGCTGAGGACTTAGATCAAAGGTTTAAAAAGGAGCAAGGTGATATTTCGTTTTTTGATGAGTGATGAGATGGGAGTAGAGGTTGGATATGGAGTATTTATCACGGTGTAGTACTACCTTGATAAAAGATTGCTGCAGAGGTTCTTGTTGAGGGCCAAAGCAGGTTTTAAGGTAGCTGAGTAAATGATGGTAGTGGAAAATTTGGAATCCAGGGAGGGAGTACTTGGTAGACAAATCCGCAAATGATTTGAAAGTGCCTGGGCCACAATCATAGATTGCTTCAAATGTGGTAAGGCTGTTGAGTGTCCATTAGTGAAATGCTTTATGCTCCTTTGATGGGAGGGGCTCGAATGGGTAAGAAACGAGTGAAAGCTGAGGGCAAAAACGTCTCCGCACTTCCCTCCAGGTTATAAAAGTGTCTCTGATCAAAATATTGGATCTCTAAGTACTAAGAAGAGATTTCAGCCTAGAATGAAGAAAATCCAGGAGGTTGAACAGGGACAACAGGGCACCCTCTAGCGTAACTGTCCCAATAACCACTCTAGACCCTGTCTTAGTAAGCATGATAAATTGTAGAACCTAATGTTGGCAGACCCGCTCCACATTCGATCTTAGGGAGAGCACAGTTTTTGAAGGGCAATGCAGGGCTTCTTTTTACGCCACAGGAAAGCCAAAAGAGAGGAGCGGATTTACTGTACATCCAAGTATTTTAAGAGGATGGGAATAGTTTGCATCGGGTAGAGTAGTCTAGCGAATGATACCATTCTAAAAAAGGTGGCATCGCCAGAACAGCAAAACTGGAAAGGCTGCCCATGCTTCCAACTCCTGTACAATCTTGATGGGTAGCTGAGGTGGTATAAAGAAGATGGCTCCTTTTCAATCCCTATGCTCAAGTAGGTGATAGATTGTTTCTCTACACAAAATGGCGAGGTCGACAGCCAATGTGCAAAGGCATGTGGGTTCGAAGCAAAGACTTTACTTTTGTCAAGGTTAATCCGTAACCCCAAGCAGATGAGGAAGGTCTCAAATGGGACACTATTTCTGATGACCTGGGGGACCCCAAGGGATTCCCTTAATATACAGGGATTTTCTTTCACTTCCCATTTTGGCTATGGGACAGGAAGTGAAGAGGCATCTCTGGCAAAAAAACAAACAAAAAACAAACACAGCAGTTTTAACTCTCCCTTACTTAATCCAAAACGAAAAAAAAAAAATCTTGGCTTTATTAAATGACTAAGATGTTTTGGGATCAGCATACAGAGATGCGTGCAACACAGATTTGTATTAAAGTTTCTATAATATCTATTTGAATAATATGATGTATAATTACTAACCTTCAACATAAGGGCCTTCTTTGGGATGCTCTCGAACTCGCAAATTAAAGGTTTTTGATGACTTTCTTCGAAGCAGATCTCTCACGCGCTCATTGTAAATTTCTAGGTAGCTAAATGAAAAGCAGAAAATACAGAATGAAAGCCATAAGGAGCTGTGCCAGGGATAAAAACCAAACATCAGCTAATGTACTGTACAACGAATAATAGGCAGCCATTCGTACTGGTGAGTAGCTTTAACACACATTAAGTTACACGGTAACTGCGTGTTCATGCAGCCCATTTATTTAAAACAGAAGGCATAGAAAAAACGAGCCTGCAGCATGTTTTGTAAAAACAGTGCACTACAATGCATGATATTGAGATGTGGTGCAACATACATTGGGGGGTCATTAAAAATGAATGGCACCTGCTTATAGTGCACATACTTATACAAAGATCTGAAAACTTGCAAAAAGGTGAACTGCCTCTGTTCCAGGAGACCATGCTACCTGGATTTCTATGATTAACTATATGCTTTTCATTGAGAAGCTGAAATAGGTTGACCAGCTAAATTTGACAAATTGAGTATAGTAGAGTATATTTTGTTGATTTGTATAATTTGCAGTGTTAATATTTGCATCACAGCAGATGATGGCAAAGGCAGGTCCTTGAATTTATGTGAAGTTATAATCTGGTTTCTCAATTTTGTTTTTGGGTTGAGGGAAAGAGAGGGGAATGAGACCAAAAAAAAAAAAAAAAAAAAAAAAAAAAAAAAAAAAAAAAAAACCACACACTTCACAAAAAAAATTTACCCAGTTTAAAAAAAAAAAAAAAATGAATGATCTATAGCCACTATTCCATGTAACTGACCACATTTTTTCTTCTTGAGTAATGCTGGTCGTACACATCAATTATTAGGCAAATTCAACCACTTTCAACAGGCAAACAGGCAGAAAGACACAGCCCACCAAATATCCCTGCTATGTAAATTTCAATATACAAACTGCTTGTGATATGTTTCTTTGGTTTGTTGAATCATTTTTGGAGAGTACAGAGACTTATGAATGAAATTGTGTAGTGACCAGCAAAAAAATACCCAGAGACTTATCAGCCACGTTCAACCTTAGCGGTGTATATATTTATAGAAATAAATCTTTCAGTGATTGAGCCATTCCTACATGTCAAATGGTACTCTGATACCTATGACTGCCATGAGCAACAGTCCCTGATATCAGAAAGGTCAGGGAAAAAAAATGAAAATTTAAAGAAGTATGGCCAAAGATTTTTTTGGCCATGCTTCTCTGATGGGTCACAGGAATACCCCTTAATTTCATTCTGTGACTGTCAGCTGACGCTGGTTATTGCAGCACAGTGGCTAAGTGATTAGCACTTCCGCCTGGCAGTACTAGGGTCGTTGGTTCGAATCCCAGCCACGGCACTACCTGCCTGGAGTTTGCATATTCTCCCTGTGCCTGCATGGGTTTCCTCCGGGTACTCTGGTTTCCTCCCACACTCCAAAGACATGCTAGGAGGTTAATTGGCTCCTGTCTAAATTGTCCCTAGTATGTGTATCTATGAATGTGGGTTAGGGACCTTAGATTGTACGCCTCTTGAGGGTTAGGGACTGATGTGAATGTACAATATATATGTAAAGCACTGCGTAAATTGACAGCGCTATACAAGTACCTGAAATAATAAATAAATTGCCTGCTGCAGGCCGACAAAGAAGAGCTGCTCCAGGCTCTGATAGGATCTTGACAATGTTGTCAGGATCCACCTGGATGTCTCACTGACAGATGAATCACCTTTCAGCACTAGGCTGAGAGCCAGGGCTAGCTGTGCCCACCTCCTCCCAAGCCTGGTGCTCCAGTCAGCACTGGAGGAGCAGAGCGGTGAGCAGTGACTCACAAGTCACTGTTCTCTGCTCCAAGCAGAATGAGAACTGAGCAACCAGTGGTCATGTGATCATTTAGTTTTTGGTCTTAGGGCTGGCGTGGGACAGCTGCAGCATACAGGGGAGTATGGATTTTTTTTTTTTTAAACCCATAAGTCTTCTTTTAACACAAAAGCAGACAAAATGTTATATAGTGAGATAAAACACTAAGCCGATTCATGGTGTAATAGTATGTACAAGACAGCTGTATATTCCACTGGGTCACTGGCTGGTAAGGTCTCCTGCACTCTGACTGTTTAGTCCCAGTGTATGAGGTTCTGGTATTTAGATGTGCTCAGAGGAAACAAATGCGCTGTCCAGCCCCAGTGCTGACAGCAAAAGCTGCAGTGGCTGGATGGTGCACAGAGCTCTACTACTATTTAAGGCAGTATACATTGAAGGACAGATGCACTCCTACATGAACACAAATGGATTTAATAACACTGGAGAGCATGGTAGCCAATCAGCTTCTAACTTCAGCTTGTTCAATTAAGCTTTGATAAAAAAAAAAAAAAAAAAAAAAAAAAAAAAAACTGGAAGCGGATTGGTTTCTATGCAGAGCTGCACCAGGTTTTCCACTCTCCATTTTTAATAGATCAATCCTATACTGCCCTAAATATCGGTAGCAAAAGATATACCAACAAGCTCCATCCAGCCACAGCAGCTGTCAGCCTCTCATAGAAGCTCCTAGGTGCACCTATGGCTTTCACCGTCTTAATGCAAGAGCCTCGTGCACCAGGGCTAAACACCTAGGGGTTGATTTACTAAAACTGGAAAGTGCAAAATCTAGTGCAGCGATGTATGGAGGCTTGGATAGATTAGAGTTAGAACTGCACTATCCACAGGGGGCTTTCAAAAGCACTTGATGAAGCATTATGTTTGCAAATATCCTGCAACTAAAACCTGTTTTAATGCAAATTTTTAATGTAATTTGTCTTATGTATTTTTTTTTTACACTGGCTAGCTGGTAGGGGTGCTAGAAAACGGTTGTCTGTGTAAAGCATTTTCAATCACACCTTAGGCCTCATGCACACCAGAGGTTATGAACACTCTCCTAGAAGCTTTTCCTCCTGGCAGCAGCATTTTTGCCCAAAAAATGCTTGATTATTATAAAAGTGTCTAACGCTTTTACAAGCGTTAGGCACGTTTACAGCCATCAAGCGCTTGGGCATTAATTCATTTCATTGGCCAGAATAGTAATTTATTCTGGCCATTGAAATGATATAACACTCAAGCGCTAAATGCGGATAGCATAAACGCGTTTAAGTGCGTTTACAAAAAAGTCAAGTCTATGTGTGCATTGACACAGTCTAACATGGAGGGGAGTTTGGAGACAATAAAAAAAAAATGCCTGACATCACTAAACGTGGCAATAAAAACATCCAGTGTGCACGAGGCCTTAATCTAATAGCGAATTATAATTTGGGGTGGTTGCCATTTTTGTTTGGGGCCAATTTCATAATTTTGTTAACCAGCCAGTGGAAAGAAGGCCAAGATCACGTTGTGGTGGGGTAAAACAACTATGCAATAACTATATTTGCATTTTAATACACCAAAAAAATATTTTACTCATTGTGTACAATAACCTTGTTCTAAATTACCAAACATTCACCATAAACATACCTTACTTCTGTACGAAATGATGCATCACCCCTCCTTGTAACATCAGCAATCCTACTGAACAATCCTTCACAAATCCGGGGTATTAGACCAGAATCACCCTGTTGTACCAGTAAAATCCAGGAGATTAGAAAGGAGAATTTAAAAGCAAATCCTTCAAACTACACAATTATTAGAGTTCAAGCAGAGGCTGAAGAGCTGCAGTGCACAACTAAGCAACAACTATATACAATCTCACATGTATATCTTCAAAAGCAAAAAAAAAATAAAAAAATTAGGGTGCAAGTAGATTTATTTACATACTAGGGGTGATTTACTAAAGGAGTAGAGTGTGATTACAGAGCAAAGTAAATGTTCAACAAGCCTAGTGAATAAGGTGGAGCGGTGTCCACTTTGAAAACCCAAATACCTACAAAAAGATTTTTGCCAAGGCATGATTAGATGATTGAGTGGAAAACCGCTTCATCGCATTAACTTAGATAATCAATATTCACTTTGCTAAGTTGACAGCCTCTTGTCCTTAAGAGAAACAAGCCCCTCTATCTTCTTGAAGTTATTGTTGATGGTCATCCACCTACTTCAAGCTCCCAATTATGGCTGCACCAGGACATGGAGCCATGATCTCCTTTTCAGGATCCTTGATGGTTAGTGGATAAAAAACCCTATACATGTTCACTGCAGAACTTAAGTTTTGACTGGATAACCATTTAAAGTTCAACACCCGCCACAGAGGTCAAGAGTCAGAACTTTTGTAAGGGTTTTTTTTTTTTTATTGCTGCCTGTGTCCTCACTAGTGAAATCTCCCCTCATTTTCTGTCTCAGTGACACAAGGACAAGTAATGTGAAGACGCAAGGGTCACAAGATCACAAGACCAGATTATACACAATGCAATAAAGCTGGGCAGATGTTCTGGCCCTCGCTTACTCTATAAAAAAACAAAACAAAAATTTCAGTGGAGGTGGACATTACTCACCAACTCCATTTCTACACACCTTACACTTCTGGATTAGTGGTTAGATGCCTGCTGTCATATCCTAACACCAGAAGGAGAATTTCTTATCCACTGGCTTAGAGCGGTGCTACAAGTTCTATGTAACCTGCATATATGATGTTAAAGGCAACCTATTCAGACATTGCACAGTATATGAAGACTGCTATTGCTTACTTGACTGTGATAATGTTAGCCTGGCTTTCTCTTGCCAGTAGTTTGAGGCTGGCCCAGAACAGACATGCAGATCTGAAAAATTAGATTTTTTCTACATCATTACCTGTAAAATCCATTTCTTGGAGTGTTGTCACAGGACTCAGAGCAGGCTATTATGACTATGTGGGTTATATGCCACCTAGATGAATGGACACTGGCTGACCAGTCAGAGAAAGTCCTCCCCTATATAACCCCTCCTACATAGAAAGTACTTTTGTTTTGTATCAAGCAAAGAAATTCCAGAAAGAGGAGAGGGACCTCTGTGTCCCGTGATGCACTCCAAAAAATGAATTTTACAGGTAAGTATGTAGAAAAAAATCCAGTTTTCTTTATCGTACATCACAGGATACAGAACAGGCTGTAACCATGAGTATGAGGGATGTCCTAAAGCAATAAAAATAAAAAATCTGAGGATTGGGCGACACTATACTAACCACTGCCATCAATCTCAAAGGACCTAATCAACCATTCGTATTACACTGCAGCCAAAGGCAGAATCCTCCATGGCGCTGGCATGCACCTAGTAAAACCTTGTGACTATATAAAACAAAGACCATGTAGCGGCCTTGCAAACATGAGCAACTGACTCCTGATGGCGGATAGCCCAAGATTGCTCCCACACTCCTGGTAGAGTGTGCTCTCACCAGAAAGGGTGGGACCACACTCTTTAAACCATAGCCCTTTCCTGGGCCCATCTGGTAGGACAAACAAAGAATCTGATCGCCCCTTGAGGGTTAGGGACTGATGTGAATGTACAATATATATGTAAAGCGCTGCGTAAATTGACGGCGCTATATAAGTACCTGAAATAATAATAATAATCTGATTTGTGCCATCATTCTCAAGAAGCCCCTTACAGCCCGTACCACATCTAGTGCCTGCAAAGATCTTTCTCTTGCTGACTGAGGCCAAGGAAAAATGATGAAGGCAGTACAATGTGCTGATTTAAATTAAAACTAGTAACCACCTTTGGCAAGAAAAGATGGATGAGGCTGCAATACCACTTTATCCTGATGCAAAATCAAAAACGGTTCTCTACAAGAAAGAGCTGCAAGCTTTGACACCCTCCTTGCAGAAGTGATTGCCACCAAAAACAGGACCTTCTGAATCAAAAGAACTAATGGAATCTCCCTAATAGGCTCAAATGGTGGTTTCTGTAATACTGCCAAGACCAAGTTCAAGTCTCAAAGACACAGGGGCTGTCTTACAGGAGGAACTATACGCTTCACTCCTTGCAATAAAGTACAAACCAAAGAGTGAGACGCAAATGGGTCTCTAGAGAAAAATGACCAAAGCTGAAACCTGGCCCTTAATAGTACCAGCAAACTTCTTTTCCAGACTCGATTGGGAAAAAGACAAAATCCTACCAATCACATTTTTCCGCGGATGCCATTTTCAGACCTCACACCAGGAAATATAAGCCTTCCAAGTTATGTAATAAAATGTTCCTGGAAACTAGCTTTCTAGCATTCAACATAGTGGGGATGATGAATCGCATATCCCCCTGTCCCTCAGGATTTTAGTCTTAATAGCCATGCCATCAAATTCAGAGACCGTAAAGCAGAGTGCAATATTGGTCACCGAGGGAGCAGGTCTGGCTGGTACGACAGAGGCCATGGACCATCCACTGCTAGTTTCACTATGTTCAGGTACCAAATCCTCCTGGGACCACTTTGGTGGCTGATGTATGCCACCATTGTGGCATTATCAGACTGAATCCTAACTGGCCAACCCTGAAGCCTGGTTGTCCAATACCTCAGGTCAAGCCGCATCATCCCAATTTCTAAAATATTGATGGGTAGAACGTTTTCCTGCAGAAACCATGTCCCCTACACCGTGGCTCCCTCTAGAACAGCCTCCCAACCCAAGAGGCTGGCATCGGTGGTTACCAACTTTCATACCACTGGCAGAAAAGATCTACCTTTCTCCAAATTTTGGGCTTCCAAACACCAATTCAAGCTCCGCAGTACCCTGGGGGACAGAGACATGTGGTAATCCAGTGCTGGAATCTTCTTGTTCCAGACAGAGAGATTGTTCCTCTGCAACGGTCTAGAGTGAAATCGTGCATAGGGAACTGCTTCGAACGAGGACACCATTTTCCCCAATAATCTCATGCAGAGAGGCATCGAAGGCTACTTTCTGCTTCTTAAATTCCGAACCTGATCTCTCAGGGCGTGGCTCTTTCTTGGAGGCAGAAACTTTTGCCTGAACGGTGTCTAGGACCATCCCAAAATATTCTAGGCATTGTACTGGCTCCAGGGCTGGTTTCTCAAAGTTTAGCACCCAGCCCAGGTGTACCAGGGTATGGATTACAAGGGTCACATTTTTTCTCAAACTTGGAACAGACTGAGTTGTAGTAGATCGTCCAGATAGAGCCCATGACTGATACTCCCAGAGTTGTGAGCAGCCCCAACACTGGAGCAAAAACCATAAATACTCGAGAGCCATGGCCAGCCCAAACGGTAGTGCCACGAACTGAAAATGCAGAGCATCTACTGCCAAATGCAGAAATTTTTGATGAGAGAGAAATATCAGCACATGCAAATATGCATCCTTGAAATCTATGGACGCTAAATAACCTCCCTCTTGTAATGAGGCCACCAATGATCGGACGGATTCCATCCGAAAAGACCAAACATCTAGAAACTGGTTCACTCCCTTGAAATCTAGAATAGGCCTTACGTCCTCATTCTGCTTTAGAACTGTGAACAGGTTTCAATAACAATTCAAAAAAGGGGGATTTGTGAAAAGAAATTCACAGAAAAAGCGGCTACATTATGAACAGAACGTGACACTCAGAAAAATTTCCAAAAATTATGCTTTATTACACACATATAAATATGACATATGGGCGTTTGCCCTGGTTTACCATCACCTCAGTATGAGACAATACACACAGACCTAAAACCATATAAAATGACACCAAGACCGGTCTAAATGCATGTGCAACAGAAAAAATGACTGCAGGAGTCTAATGTCCCTGTAGCACAGACACATAGGTGAACACTTCCCAAAAGAGGTGTATCCAAAAATTATACCATAGGCATACCATAATATTGAATTTATAAATAGAACAATACCATTATGGTGAATCCCAGTAAGGGAATCCAAAAATTGTACTATGGATATAAGTATCACATGTATGCAATGCAGCAAGCACAATATGCGTCAAAAAGAAAACAACAAGCCTCAGGCCTGTATGGAGGGAGACATAAATGTCAAATATATGATGCAATACATTCCTGTACCGGCACAAGTGGTTGGGGCCCATTCATCTGTAATATGAACAGCTGTATCCTAGAGCTCTTGAATGAAAATATGCCCCATTTATTCCCAGGATGGAAGAAAAGATGCAAAAAGCAGCACTCTGCTAGAAATGGTATCTTCACCACTAAATGTGGACTACACACCACCTTTTGTAGAAAAAAACAGGACATATCCCAAAAGATCTTCTGCCTGTTGAGATATATGTGGTATATCCTGTATCTTATACAAAGCACCATGATGTCCCCATCCTGTAGTGAGACAAATGATATGTGGGAAGTCACTGACAGAGTTTACACTCAATAAGATATAAAGGTCATATAGATCACAGAGGACCATATATCTAATGTCCTGTAACAGTCCACTCACCACCTGTGCTATGGGTATTAGGAATGAAAGAGATGTCCTTCATGGGTACTGCCATACACGGCCACAGAGGCCTAGGAACCACCGCTGACATCCGCCGATATACCGCGGGTTCCAGCCCCTTCTTGGCGCTTGTGCTGCTCACACTTGCCTCATGGCATGTGAAGATGGCTTCCTCCTTATGGGTCAGCGTGCGTTCCACCTAATGCGCATGACCGGAAGTGACGTATCTGACGTATGACGTCAACACGTTTCGCCGATGGGCG